GGGGGGGGGGGGGGGGGGGGGGGGGGGGGGGGGGGGGGGGGTGTCCAGGGGCCAGGATCCCGCCGCTGGCTCACCACCACCCCCACCGGCCAGGTGTTCGTGAACTTTGCCAAGAAGCAGAGTGACAACCTGGAGCAGCAGGAGACTGAGCCACCCTCGGCCCTGCGGTCGCCCCTGGGCCGCCTGCTCAGCCTCTTCCGGCCACGGCCAGCCCCCACGGAGTTAAGGGCCCTGGTGGCCGATGAGCCCGAGGACCTGGACACGGAGGACGAGGGCCTCATCAGCTTCGAGGAGGAGCGGGTGAGCCACGTGGCGAGAGGGCTCGGGCTGGGCCTGCGGAGTGGTGTGAGGGAGGGGTCACCTGGGGATGTTTGGGGTCCTGAGCTCCAGGGCACGGAGGGAGCTGTGTGAGACTGAGGGCTGGGGCGGACACAGGAGACCACGGCACAGGCACATACAGACTCACAGCAGACCCCGTGGCTGCCTGGGAACCTTGCAGGATTTCAGGGACAGGCAGAGCAGGGTAGCAAGGAGCAGAGCCTAGGGCCGGGAGAGAGCAGGAAACGCGGCAGCCACCAGACTCTGCGGACAGAGACCACAGGAGGCTTCGCCACCGAGGATTCCAGGGAGATGGAGAAGGGGCGCCCCGTTCCAGGCCCGGGGGGTGTTTGTGGACGCTTCCCCAAGTCCGGCCTGCCTGCTCTCTGTCCACCAGGCCCAGCTCTCCTTCAATACAGACACACTCTGCTGACCACCAGGTGCTGGCTCAAGGACATGCTGTGGGGACAGAAGTCAGGCGGTGGCCGAGGCCCCACCCCAGTGCCCACCCCACTGGGCCCCACCCCAGTGCCCGCCCACAAGGCCCTGGAACGGGAGGTCCAGGACCAAGGGCTTCCTGCCCCCTCCAGCCCCTCACCTGTCCTCAGCCCTGCCTGAGGCCACTGCGCTGCCCTCCCCTGATTGTGCCAAAGGTCGGCCTGGCCCTGGGCTACACACACCCTCACCCTGCTCTGCCTTAAAGCCTTGGGGTCTGGCTGGCCCCTAGTCTCTGCCCCTGTCCAGCTCTGCCCGCCACCCCTCGGACCACTGGGGTGACACAGGCCACCAGGTACCAGCAGACTCTGCTCGCCAGGCCTGATGTCCTGAATGGGCTTTGCTCTGACCCCAGGACTGATGGGCTGGTCTGGGGCTGAGGCCAGGACTGGGTTGGTCCCGTCCCCAGGCCCTTATTTATTTTGCTTTAGGAAGAGGCTTCCTCCTCTTGCTGTCCTGCACGGCAGCCCCCACCTGAGGGAAGCCGTGGGCGTGGGCCAGGGAGGGGACGACTCCGGGTGGCAGGCCGGGTGGCAGGAATGGAGAAGCTGGCCCCACTGGCCAACAAGGGCCGGATCCCCTCCCCATCCCCTCCAGCTGCCACTGCTCTCCCGCCCAGCTTGGCCCCCCTGCACACCCACCCACCCGGGAGCCGGACCTGTACATAGCGCACAGATGTTTGTTTTAAAATAAATAAACAAAAAAGCCCATGCTGGCCTACGTGTGGAGCGGGGTGTTGGGGTGAAGATGGGCCCCCCGACGCAAGCTTATGGTGTGTGCCTCACAGGCTGGATGCCATGTCCCCGAGCACTGAGGCCAGGGTAATGGGAAGGTGGCTAGGTCAGCGTGGAGGAGGACAAGGGGCCCGCCTCCCTCTGAACAGCAGCTGGAACTGGGAGACTTTGGAGGCAGGGGCTTTCCCTCAGTCCCCTCCCCTGCCCCACCCATACAGCCTACACCCCCTGCCAGGAGCCAGGTCCTGAGTGGGCTTCTTTGTGCCTTGTTGCCGACTGGGCGGGCGTGCTCTCCGTGCCGCCTTCTCCCTTCCCTGGAGCCCAGGGCCCACTTAGGGCCCACAGGCTGGCAGCGTTGCTGGGCTGTGTCAGTCTCATCCGGGATGGGGGGCTTGCAGGAGGTGACCTCTAGGCTGGGAGTCCAGGAGGGAGTCCAGGAGGGAACATGTGCAAAGTTTGGGGGCAGTGTGGAGGCTCCCAGGAACAGGGTGGGGGTAGGGGGCTTGGGCCCGGCACCAGTGGAGCCTGGAGACTGGCCACAAGGAAGGGTCCCAGAATCTGTTCCTCAAGCTTGGCCATGGTCAGTGTCCCAGAAGAGACCCCTTCCAGGGGACTGGAAGGGACACAAGACTTCGCAGGAGGATGAAGGGTCACGTTTCTCAAAACCCTTTCACCCTGGTTGGGGTGGGTGGTGCTGGCAATTTCCCTTTTTTTCTTTCTTGGGTTTTTTTTTTTTTTAAGATTTATTTATTTGAGGGGCGCCTGGGTGGCTCAGTGGGTTAAAGCCTCTGCTTTTGGCTCAGGTTATGATTCCAGGGTCCTGGGATCGAGCCCAGCATCGAGCTCTCTGCTCAGCAGGGAGCCTGCTTCCCCCCCCTCTCTCTTCCTGCCTCTCTGCCTGCTTGTGATCTCTGACTGTCAAATAAAAAAATCTTAAAAAAAAAAAAAAGATTTATTTCTTTTGAGAGAGAGTGAGTTGGGGGAGGGGCAGAGGAAGAGAATTTCTAAGCCATCTCCCTGCTGAGTGCGGAGCCCTAAGTGGGACTTGATTCCACCACCCTGAGATCGTGACCTAAGCTCCAAGCGGAAACCCAGAGCCGGAAGCTTAGCCCACTGAGCACGCAGGTACCCCCAAATGGTAGTTTTCTGATTACTTCATCCTTTCCGTGCTTATTAGCTGACATTTTCTTCAAACGTCTCCCCTTTTAGAAATATATCACTGTGGATTCACCGTTTTTTTAAAAATCAACATGCCATTCATTGCTGTCATCTTAAAGATTTCTCTTTTAGGATTTTATTTGTTTGTGTTAGAGCACGAGTAAGGGGCAGAGGGAGAGGGAGAAGCAGACCCCCTGCGGAGCAGGGAGCTCAACGTGGGGCTCCATCCCAGGACCCCAGGATCATGACCTGAGCCAAAGGCAGAGGCTTTAACCCACTGAGCTGTCATTTGCTGTCTGTTGCTGTCATTTTTACACACAAACTACCCGGATTCAGCCAGTGGGAACCCCTCCATGATGGCTTCTGTGTCCTTTTGACCTGCCCAGGACATTTAATTTGGAGACTTCTCCGTTACAATGTCCAGGTCTGCGCTGTGTCTCCCTGCCCCACATCTGGATTCGGCTGTTTTCCGAGGAGCCCATTCCCCGGGCGGAATGGTATTTGGGACTCCCGTCCGCACTCCGGGTGGGCTCCCTTGGTTCTCTCAGGGGGCAGAGCCAGGAAACACCTGTCCACGCTCCCGCCAGGACCCCACTGCCGTCCCAGGGCCCCCTCCCCGTCCCCCTGCAAGTCTGTGTCTCTTTTCGGAACAGATGGCTGAAACGCTGGGAAGGGCCGGCAGCCAGGGGCCTCAGGAGAAGAGCGTTGCCGCTGTGTGGATGAGGCCCGGGCCGGCAGCTCCTGGGGGCCGGGGAGCTGGGGCCGCTCCCGGGCCACAAGGAAGGGAAGGGCGTGAGAAGCACACCCCAGACCTGCGGGCCCTCCAGGGACTGCTCTGTGGATGCAGGGCTGCAGGGTGGCAGGGAGGTTTGCTCGGGGCCCCGGTGTAGATTTTGGGCCAGTCAAGGTTGGTGACTGTGAGCTTCCGGTCTCATTGACTTAAAAACATGGCTTGTGAAGTCACAGTAGGAAATCCAAACGTGCCTGAGGACATCCTCTTGGCTTTTCGCAGAAGGCTGGGAGCAGACCCTGACGGACATGTACTGACAGCTGGCTCGGCTTGCTCTGTCGCTGGTCTTGGGCTACGGTGGCTGTGACTTACCACACTGGGCCTGTAAAACGGCAGGAGCGTGTTCCCTCACCGTCTGGAGGCCCAAGGTGCCCGATCAAGGTGTGGGCAGGGCTGATTCCCTCTGAGGCTGTGGGTGAGGGTCTGGTCCACGCTCTCCCAGCTGCCGGTGGTTTGCCGACAAACTTCTGTATTCCTGGCTTTGTCTACCGCCCTGATCTCTGCCTCCATCCTCACACGGCAGCCCCCCCACCGTGTGTGTCTGCGCCCAAATCTCCCGTTTACAAGGACACAGTCCGATTGGGGTAGGGCCCCTCCTGACAGCCTCATTCCAACATGAAGACTTCTGTAAAGGCTCTGTGTCCTAACGTCACATTCTGAGGTGCTGGGGGCTAGGACTTCCACCGTGAAGCTCGGGGGCACAATTCAGCCACAACGCCACCCAACCTGAGACCAGAGAGGCTCCCTTCCTCTGTCCTCCCCTGTGAACCTACCACGACTCTCCCACAGATGGGGGGGGTGGGGGCTTGCCACCCAGGGGATGGCATGGATCTGTTTATTTAATTTTTTTAAAAGATTTTATTATTTATTTGACAGACAGAGATCACAGGTAGGCAGAGAGGGAGGAGGAAGCAGGCTCTCCCCTGAGCAGAGAGCCCGATGTGGGACTCGATCCCAGGACCCCGAGATCATGACCTGAACCGAAGGCAGAGGCTTAACCCACTGAGCCACTCAAGCACCCCGCTTGGATCTGTTTCTATGTCCCAAGTGCATTTACAGGGACACTTATGGGCTGATTCCCGGGGGGCTGAGCTGTCTGGACAGTTTTGCCAGCCAACGGGCGGCCCGAGCAATGCGTGCTCACGCCCTTGCTCCGCACACCTGCTCACTGCAGCCCCGAACCCAGGCTTGTCCTACATTGTCTCTTGAAATAAGTGTGCAGTGAGACGCACTCCCACACATCCTGTGTTGGTAGATCTTTTCTCTGAACCACCTGGTCACTGGTCCGTTTCACGACTGTTTCTACGGATGCCTAAGGGTATTTTTATACGCACAGAAATACCCACGGGAAGGCTGGTGAGCACCTGCGGCCGTGGGGGGAGCACCTGCGGCCGTCGGGGGTCTTGGGCCCTTCCCTGGGGCTGTGGCGCGTGCCCCGGGGAAGCTGATGAGCAGGCCGACAGCAGAAATACTGGTGCCCCGGAAGGGAGCCAGTGCCCAGCTCGTCTGCAGGGTCAGCACCAGGCTGCGTCTGGGAGCCCTGAACCCCGCGGGGTCCCGGAGAGGCCCTGGGGGGAGGAGCCAAAGGGTCGGGCAGATCCCCAGCTCCGCCACCTGGGGGCGGAACCTTCGCAGGCCCCTCCCTCGGGACACGCCCCCCACTGCGTCGGGGGCGGGCCTGACTGGGGCGCAGCAGGTTCGGGGTGTGCGCACCCAACGTGTCCTCGTGGGTTCCTTCCAGCCAACCGCAAGGGCAGTCGGGAGGTTGTGGCTTCTAAACCTCCTGGTGCTTCTGTTGAAAAGTTAACGGGAAGAGCTGGAGCGCCGGGGTGGCTCAGTCGCTTGGGTGTCTGCCTTTGGCTCCTGTCGTGGCCCCCGGGTCCTGGGATTGAGCCCCGGGTAGGGCTCCCTGCTCAGTGGGGAGCTTGCTTCTCCCTCTTCCTCTGCTGCTCCCCCTGCTTGTGCTCGCGCTCTGTCAAATAAATAAAATCTTGAAGAAGAAGAGAGGAGGAGGAAGGGCAGGGGGAGGGGGAGGAGGAAGGGCAGGGGGAGGGGGAGGAGGAAAGCCTGCCTGGAACCCCACTGGGAGGGCAGGAGGTGTGGGGTTGGCTGACCTGGGACACCTGAGCAGGCCCGCAGCTCTCCTGGAATGTGGGCTGGCCTGGGGGGCGGGGCTCTGCCAGACCCAACCCTTCCCGGGAGGTAGGCAGACTGGGAAACTGAGGCTGGGGCCCGGCTGTTCATTTATTTCTCCGACGCGCTCCCCAGCTTTCTGAGGGAAGCCTGGCAGACAACAGGATGGCTGCGGAGTTCACGGCAGGAGTGAGTCTGATCCCGAGCGCCCCCCTCCCAGACTGGCACCTTCTCTCCCTGCCTCTGAGGCCGTGGCCTCCACCTCCATCCCACACAACCCTGTGCACTCAGCACCCCAGTCACACCCTCATGCTTGGGCACGAGCACCAACCACCTGCATGGGTGACTCGTCGGGGCGGGCCCTGGATGGGGGAGGGCGGGGCACACCGGGAGGCTTAAAGGACTCTCCAGGCCCCCACCCTGCCCCGCTGTCGCCAGTGCCGCTGCTGCCCCTGCTGCTGCTGCTCCCAGCAATGGCGGAGACTGCCAAGCTCCAGCTGTTTGTCAAGGTGCCCCTGGGCCGGGAGGGCAGCCTCTGGGATGAGTGTGCTCTGCGGGGGGCTCTGCTTTCTGGGGCAGGCAGAGGGTCTGCATCCTCTCCCTGGGAGTGGGCTCGCGTAGCTCTACAGAGACTTAGAAAGAGGGACCAGGATGGGGGGAGAGCCCAGTGAGCTGTCCCCAAGGGCATGGGGGTGCCAACTCCCAGCCTTAGCTCCTGGACCCAGCCCAACCCTTCTGGAGAAAAAGCCCCTCTGTGGGGAGGTAACGATCAGGCCTCTGGAGGCCAGGCCCACGTGGAGCTTGAGGTCAGTGCAGTGGGAGGGGTCTGGGCCAGCTGAGCCGCAGATGCTCACATCACTGCCCAGATCTGTGGATCCCTGTACAGGGGCTGCCAGAGCCTGGCCTCCTCCCCACGGTCGGGGTAGGGGACAGGCCTACCGGCCTATAGCCAGTGTCGTTTGGCAGGTGAATCACTCAGAAAACAGCTCACTCGGCCCACCCCACCTGTGACCCGCCTGCAGGGCCAGAGCCCCAGGTGCTGAAGATAAGGGTGGAGGAGCTGAGCTCCAGAGCTTGGGTCCCACCCCCGGGTCCCCATGCCCCTTGCCACCTCCCAGGATCCAGTCAAGAGCTCTCAGCCACCACTTGTCCAGGCTGTGCCTAACCAAGCTGGAGCCCCGGATCATTTCAGGCTCTTGGCGGTGGGAGGCAGGGCGCTCTCTGGCGCAATTCTTAGGTCTGCTCTCTGCCCCGCTCCTCTACTGCCCGCACCCCAGGCCAGCGAGGATGGCGAGAGCGTGGGACCCTGCCCTTCTTGCCAGCGGCTCTTCATGCTCCTGCTTCTCAAGGGCGTGCCCTTCACCCTGACCACCGTGGACACTCGCAGGTGAGCCCCCGCCTCCACGGGGGCCGCTCCCTGGTCTCTGGCCCTCCTGACCACCCACTTCTCCCGCTGCCTCATGCCCACAGGTCCCTGGATGTGCTTAAGGACTTTGCCCCTGGCTCGCAGCTGCCCATCCTTCTCTACGACGGCGACGCCAAAACAGACACACTGCAGATCGAGGAGTTTCTGGAGGAGACGTTGGGGCCCCCTGAGTGAGGGCTCCAGGCCTGGGGGGGGGGTACGGAGCTCCACAAGGAGAAGCCCAGGAAGAACACCTCGGGTCTCGCTGGGAAGGGGGTGTAGCATGAGGGTCTGACCAGAGGTCCCCTACTTCCCCGTAGATTCCCTAGCCTGGCGCCCCGCTATGGAGAGTCCTCCACAGCCGGCAACGACGTCTTTCACAGGTTCTCGGCCTTCATCAAGAACCCGGTGCCCACGCAGGACGATGGTGAGGCGGCTCTGGAGGCCCGGCGAGGGTGGGGGGATTTGGCCCAGGCCCGGGCCTCACTGCGCCCCACCCCCCAGCCCTGTACCAGATGCTGCTGCGAGCGCTCACCAGGCTGGACTGCTACCTGCGCACGCCCCTGGGGCACGAGCGCGCGCGGGAACCCCAGCTCCGCGAGTCGCGCCGCCGCTTCCTGGACGGCGACGAGCTCACGCTGGCTGACTGCAGCCTGCTGCCCAAGCTGCACATCGTGGACGTGAGTGGCCGCGCGGGGCGCGGGGCGCGGGGCGCGCGCGCCACAAGGCCCTGACCTCGTTGCGCCCCTCGCCCGCAGACGGTGTGCACGCACTTCCGCCGAGCGCCCATACCGGCCGAGCTGTGCGGCGTCCGCCGCTACCTGGACAGCGCGCGGCAAGTGAAGGAGTTCAAGTACACGTGTCCATCCAGCGCTGAGATCCTTGCGGCCTACCGGATGGCCGTGCGCCCCCGCTAACCCCTCCCCCGCCGTCTCCAGCCACCACCTGCCCCCTCTCCTACAGCCCCATAAAGGCATCTGTGCCCCAGGGAAGGTGTCCTGACCTCCGAGGGACCAGAGGGCCCCATTTCTGCCACCCCGAAACCTCCACCACGATCCCACAGCTCCACCTGATAGCCCAGAATGACAGGGGCAGAGAACCCAGTGGGTGGTTCTGCCCAGCCCTCCACTCACCCTATCAGGGGTGGCGGGGGACTGGATTGGGCTCCCAAACCAGTCAGGACAGGGTGGGGCAGCAGGATGGCCAAGGAGGGTGGGGACCAGGAACCCAGCCTGGGCACCTAGGGGCTCCAGGCCAGTGGGTGGGGCCAGCCCACATTCCTCAGCCCTGCCCCAGGGAGCAGGTGCCCCCCCCACCGGACTTCCACAGGGGCCAGTGTGCATGCAGTGTGGGATACCGGAGGCCGGGCCCCGTCGGGTGGGGTCTGGGAGAAGTGTGTGCCTGGAGTAGTTGGCAACCGGGATCCAGCCTTGAGGAGCCCTGCCTTGCCTTCCAGGCCCTTGGTTCCTATGCAGACTAGGCAGGGGTAGCTGGGTGAGCCCGGAGCTAGGGACCCCTGCCCCTCCTCCGCCCCAGGGAGTGTGAAGGCTGCTGCAACAGCTTACAGCTTACTGCTGCCCCACCACGTGCCAGGTCCCAGGTCCCAGGGAGATCTCTGACCCCTCTCCCCCAGCCAGCCCGCAGGAGCCGGAGTGTGGCCGGTTCCTCCCTGCGAGGAAGCATTTATTCAACGGAGAAGGGGTGTGGAGAGCAGGCGTGCCCGACCCTCCGGTAGGACGGGTTTGCGCAGACGGCTCTCAGAGGCTGTCCCCACCTCACAGGCAGATTGCTGGCAGGATCACACTCTGCTGCACCCTCAAGGGCTCTCAAAGTCTACACCACCGGCTGGTTTCTTACTAGGAGAGAAGGGGAAGTGACTCTGTGGTGTAGTGGGGGGGGGGCGGGGGTACAGCACCCCCGGCACCGGAGGGAGGGACAAGTGGCCGAGTGGCTGAGTACCTCTTGAAGCCGGGGTTGATGAGGGACTCTCCTGGACACCGCCTCCTGACCCCGAGTCCAGGGCCGCCTCTCTGAGGATCTGGGTCTGAGGGAAGCAGGACAGGAGGGGGGTCCTGAGTCCGGTCCAGCTCCAGGGCCACAACCCCTTCTTCATACGCATTCTCTGGAGCTGGACTCTTGTTCCGGGGAAGAACACAGCCCCAGCCAAAGTCACGGGTGACAGGCCTTACCCGGTAAGAAGAGCTGAGGCCCCAGACAAGGGCTCTTTCTGGGGCTGGCAGCTGTCACCTCCGCAGCTGGGGAAGAAAGCCAAGAGTACAGGCGCGAGCGGGGGCGGGGCCCAGTGAAGGCTCTGGGCACAGCCCCCCTACCGCACCTGCCAGCTGCCTCTTCAAGGTGCACACTTGGTCTGCCAGCCTCAGTGTCAGCGCCTGCAACCTGGAGGCTGCCTCTGGGCCCGGCACCTTGGAGAGGTCAAAATCCAGTGCTGAGGGCCCCCCTGAAAGGGTGAGGGATGCTCGGTCCTCCTGCAGGACGAAAGTCAGAGCTCGCTGCTCGCAGGCTGCCCTGGGAAAGGAGCGGTGCTCAGTGCTGTGTCCAGACCCCCTTGCTCCACACCTGCCCTTCCTCCCTGCCCAGACGCTCACCTGAACCGGGAAGTGATATCCTCAGCCGTGCTCAGGCCAAAACGGGCTTTCTACAGGGCACAGGAGCTGGTCACCAGCTGCCCAAGACCCTGGAACCACCCCAAAGCTGCCTGATCCAGAGCCACCCCCGGAGGCCAGGCCAATCTTAGGCCTACAGCTCCAAAGCTCGGGGAAGGGTGTCCAGACCCGCCTCCCCCCACCCCGGGGGGGATCCCAGACCGCCCCCCTCCATCTCATAGGTGGTCCGCACTGCAGTCGGGGGGTGCTGGGGGCTTCCGGGCCCGCCCGGGAGCCCCGCTACCCACGAGGGCCGCCAGGCTGTCCGCCGTGAAGCAGGTGCTCCATAGCTCCGCTGCGTCGGTCACACTGCGGGGGGAGCGGCTGTCAGACCGGCCCGCCCCCGAGCTGTCCGCGCCCCCAGCGCCCCGCGTTCCGCCACTCACTAGAGGTTGAAGGCGCCGGGGCCTCCGTCCTCTCCCTCCCCCTCGCAAAAGCACACGAAGCGCGGGGGCCCGGGGCCCGGTGGCAGCGTGCAAAGAGGCGGTGACGGCGGCGGCGGCGGCGGCGGCGGCACCATGGCACCACGGCGAGCGGAGGGCCACCCACCGGCCCGCGCGCCTGCAGGCCTAGGGCGCAGCGCGGGAGCCCAGCTCCGGAACGGGGGGCGGGGCGCGAGCGGGGCCCACGGGGCCTGCGCGGGGCGGGGCTGACGGCCCTGTCCCCGCCCCGAGCCCCGGAACCGCGCGGGGCCAGGGGGCGCGGCCGACCGAGCTTAGGGCGCGGGGCGGGACCTGCGAGCCTGGGGCGGGGCTCTCCGGGCGGGGCGGGGCGGGGTCCCCAGTCCCGCGTGGGGTCTTCTGCCCGCCTCCCCGCCCCCCGCAGCTGCGCTCCCGCCGCCCCGCGGAGTCCGAGGTTCCCCGGGCTTGCGCTTCGACCCCGGCGGTGCCAGCGGCCTCCTCGTGCCGTCCACACCGGCCCTCGCCGTCCGCGAGATGTTTCTCACGTCGTCTTCAGATCCGCCAAGCCGCACCCCGGCCCGGTGCAAAGGGAATAAAGTACGACCCGTCCGTTCCCCGCCTTCGCCCGGCCCCCTCTTGTGCCCGGAGTCCTCGGCCTCGGGCACACCTTCACCCGCGGACAAGGTCTCCGGTCGCCTGTGGCTTGTGAGATCTAACGGGGCGACAAATAATAAACACAGGAAACGTGCAACTCTCGGTAGCAGTTTGAGCCGTTTGAGCTGTGACCTGGACAAGAGGGGGCCGTGCGCGCCAGGCCAGGGGATCGCGGCCGAGGGAGCCCGCATGGAGGAAGGCCCGCAGCCGGCACAGCACGGGTCTGCTCCAGGCTCTGCAAGAGGGCGAGGGTGCACCCTGGCGGCCACAGGGAGGCGGCTTGGGGGGTGCTCAGGCCATGCTGGTGCGTCCCCTGCAGGCCAGCCTGGCCCCGCCCTGACCTTCCCCTGGTTGACACCCTCCGGCTCCTGCTTCAGGACCTTTGCCTGGCACACCCTCCCCCAGACTCACACGCTTCCTTCAGGTCTTCAGTCAAGGTCGCCTTCTCAGAGGCCTTCCCTCGTCCCTTACATGGAGGTCCACAGCCCTCCCAGCATCTCCTGTGCTCTCTCCTGTTTTAAGTACTCCTTTTCCAGACTTGTCCCCATAGGGAGTCTACTCTGGTTTCCGCACTGTGCCAGCGGCCTCTAAGACGGCCCCAACCATCCCTCCTCCCCTGTTCCAGCTTTCACGGATCGGCCCCTGAGTGGGGGCTGCGCTCAGTAACTTGCTTCCGGCCAGTAGAATGCGCCAGAAGTGGTGGGCTGTCCTTCTCCCTCTCTGAGTTGCTCACCACGATGTGTGGCAGCTCTGGGGACACACCCACGTGGCAAAGGACCAAGGCCTGGCCAGGGTTCGTGAGGGAGCTGCAGACCCCCTCCCAGGGGAGCCTTCCGAGGGGCAGTGTCCACCGCCAGTGGCTGGACAGCAGCATCCTGAGAAATCGTGGGCCAGAGGCCCCAGAACACCAGGACCAGGTTCCCGACCCTCAGAAACTGGGGAGATGATATATGCTTGTTTGTTTTAGGCCACTGAATTTGGGAGTAATTTGTTATTCAGCAGTAGGCCACAAATGCATTTATCTCTCCTGTCTATTGGCCAGTCCCCCCAGAGGTGCACGGGGCAGGCCTTTCTGTCTGTTTCACTTGCCACAGCATTGCCAGAGCTTAGACACTGCTTGGCACAGAGATATTCAGTAAGTATTGTGGAGGAAGGAGTGCAGAGTGGGGAGCTGCTGGAGGGTGTATGCGGGGGTGGGGTGGGGAGAGCTACAATGGATTTAAGTGTACAGAGCCTGTGTTGAGCACCATGAGAGGCCGCTGAGAGCTGTAGGGGTGGAGACTGGGGGGACAGGAAGAATAGCAGAGGGCTGCTGAGTCCCTCTGGGCAGAGCTGATGGACACTGGGCCAGGGGCTCAGAGAGCAGGAGGAGAGAGTTCGGGGCGAGGGAAGGAGGGATCACGGCTGAAAGCTGCAGGTGGTGAGTGTGGAAACAGCGTTCCCTGAGACCGCTGGGCGGGGGCGGGTTTGGGGAGGGGCCGCTGCTTTGCTATATGAGCTGGGACGGAGATGGCAGAGGCTGCCGTGTGCCCAGCCTCTAGCGGGGGACCATCCCCTGGGATGTGAGTGTGGAGTCCCCAGCCCCGAGGACCGCTCAAAACATTAGCCCCTCCAGGCACAGTGCTTGGGGCCTGGACAATGTTTCCAGGAAGGACGGGGCAGGCTGAATGACCGCCCGTCAGGGTCAGCTTCCGTGGGGAAGGGGCTTGTGCGGTTGTGGGTAGGGGTCTTGAGATGGGAGGGTTTCCCGGCACATCTGAATGCAGTCCCAGGTGTCCTTAAGAGAGAGGCAGAGGGAGGTTTCACCAAGAAGAGGAGAAGGCAGTGTGGTCAGGGGGCCAGAGGCCCTGGTGACGCAGCTACCAGTCGGGGCTGGTGGCCGCCACCTAGAGGTAGAACAGGCAAGAAGGCTTCCCCCCTCACCCCCCCACCCCCGCCCCAGCCTTAGTGGGGGTGTGGCCCTGCCCATCCTGCGATCTTGGCCTAGGGAAACTGATTCTGGCCTCCAGAACCACGAGAAGGAAGGTAAATGTTAGGTTTTAAGCCACCAAATTTGTGATAATTTGTCACAGGATCCCCAGGGAACTAGTTCAAGACCGGGAGCAGGGATTCGTTGCAAAACGTGAAAAGAAAACCGAAAAATCTAAGTTTAAAAAATTACACAAATATCTGGACAACGTGCTGGATAGCCAGGTCTTCAGCCCCTCAGGCCTCCTGCAGGGCTGACTGAACGTGGGTGTGGGCACAAGGTAGGTGGGCAAGGGACGCGGCTAAGGAAGGCTCCAGCCACGGTGCCGGGGGCAGGGTAGCCAGGGCTTGGGGTCCCAGAGGCCTAAGGAGGGGCACACAGGGTGGCATTTGAACAAAAGATTCCAGCAGAGCAGACAAAGCGGAGAGCTGGGACGAGACGCCCCAGGCAGGAGACACATGCATCTGGACTCTGTGTCCCACTCGGGGCCGGCTTGTTCAAGGGACACAAGCTGGTCAGCAGGGCTGAAGGAAGGAGGGTGGGTGGTGGGGTCAGAGGAGGGCCGGTCAGGGACGGCCTTCTTGGCCCCTAAAGACCTCGGCCTTTCCTATCAGTGAGAGCCCTGGCTTCTGGGCGGAGAACCGGCTGCGGGCTGCCCCCGTGAGGTGTGAGCGGGGTGGTGCAGGACGAGACCATGAGCCCCAGGCGGGTCTGCAGGTGCCTGGCGGGGGGACAGCCCTCCTGGGATCCAGAGGCCCCATGGGGCTGCCCCACCCCAGAGCGGAGCCTCTCTCGGAGGAGAAGGTGTCCAGAAGGCCATGAGGGGCAACTTGCCTCTCCCCACTACAGATCCTCCCCAGGAGGGATCAGTGGGGGAGGACAAGAGGACCAGAGACTGCTGGGAGTGCAGAGGCTGGTGGTGAGACTTCCCACACTACTCCCCAGGAGAGCAAGCACCCCCGCCTCTCTACTTCAAACCCTTGTGTTGCTGCCCTAGCGTCCTCCACCCCTTCTTCTCCTGTCCCCATGGAAGCCAAATGACAACTGACCGGCCCACTGACCCGCTGATGTGTCGCCTAGAGCTCCGACAGCATCTCCCAGCAGAACCCCTCTAGGTGGCCAGATGGCACCTTGCCCAAGAGTCAGTAGGAGGGGTGGGTGGGTGGGTGAGCTCACAGGTCACACGTGTGGGCGGGGACTGGGTCTCTGGACCCTCCACACACTTGTCCTGACCCCCAGGGCTTCAGTTCCAGACTGGGGTCAAGCTGGGGCCGGGAGAAGATGGGGGCAGGCCCCTGCCTCAAAGCGTCCACAGGGGGGTCAGAGGCTGGCTGTGGGTCAGGCCAGCAAAGGCATGGGCTGGGGCCAGGTGCCGGGTGCAGGTGTGGAGGAGGCTGTTAGGGGCTCTCAGGGTGTGGGGCTATTTATGCCGGTGACATCCTAGTCCAGAAGGACCCCAATTAAAGCAACAAACCTGGCAGGACAGGGCTGAGGTTTTATTTTATTTTTTTTAAGATGTTATTTATGTATTTGTCAGAGAGAGAGACAGTGAAGGCAGGAACACAAGCAGGGGCACGGGAGAGGGAGAAGCAGGCTTCCTGCGGTGCAGGGAGCCCGATGCGGAGCTCGATCCCAGCACCGTGGGATCCTGACCTGAGCCAGAGGCAGATCCTTAATGAGCTGAGCAAGGGCCACACCCCAGTCCAGGGTGGGGGGTTGGCCAGTGGCAGGGAAGGCCCTGCGGCGTCCCTCTGCGTCTGCGTAAGCTTTCCTCGCAGCGGAGCCCAAGCTCCCCCCGGGGCTGAGCGCCGGCCCACGCCAGCTGAGCAGGGCGTCCTCCCCTGGTCCCAGAACCCCGTGGAAGAAATGCACAGCCGTGGGCTTCAGGAGATGATTTATTGTGCTGGGGAAGGGATGGCAGAGAGAAGTGGTGTGCGCTCTCTGGGGAAGGCCTAGCGTGCGGAGCGTGGGCCCCCCACGGTGGGCGCTCCCGGGCCGGGTCATTCCTTGCAAACAAGAGAGCAGGCGGAGTGGGGTGAGCACCACCTTCTTGCCTCCTCCTGCCCTGCCTGGGCCCAGGCCAAGAGCCCCCACTCTGTCCCTCCCCACTGCTGCTTGCTGTCCCCCCTTGATTCCATGGAACGGTCCCCACCTTGCTCCCAGGATGAGGACCCCCACTGTGCAGCCGTTTGGCCAGGAGGGACCCTGGGGCATGGGGCACGGGGCACTGCACGGTCTGGGGAGGGGTGTCCAGGCCTGGCCCTGGGTACTCACCTAGGAGAAGGCGCCAGCACACTGGTCTGTGGGAGAGAGTGGGGCCTGAGGAACCAGCCAGGGCCCCTGCCCCGGGGTGGGAGGCCCCCAACCCTCCCTGAATAACCATGCCTCGCAGCCTGTGCGTGAGCACTGAGCACCGAGCACCGTCTGAAGGGCGCCATCTGGCCCTCCCCGTAGGAGTCTGGGGTCTCCCGCAGCCCTGAGCCGGCCTGGGGGCGGCTCTCACCTGATGAGGGCAGCAGGGCACCCTGGCTGGGGTTCAGGCCTATTTGGGGCGCCAGCTGCTGCATCTTCTGGGCGCCCTCAGGAAACAGCTCCGGGACGCGGGCTGAGGGCAGGGAGCATCAGTGAGCAGAGGGGTCAGGCGGGGGTGGGGGCTGGTCTGGAGGAGGATGGGGCGGGGGGGGGGGGCGGGGGGGGGGGGCTGGGCGGGGAGGGGTCTGGAGCCCTCTACCACAGACACGAGGGTCCCAAGGAGACACTGGAGGACAGCAGCTCCCCCTGCGTGGAGTTGGAACTTGCTGCCATGTGGACAACAGTCCCGACCAGCCTTGGGTGCAGGGCTCCTAGAGGAGAGGCCTGTGCCTGGGGATCGGTGGGGGCGCAGGGGTGCTGGGAGCACCCCCAGGCTGGGCTGCTCACCGTAGAGCTGCAGCCAGACGCTCCTGACGCCCTCCTTCTGCGTCTCCACGTACAGCACTGCGAAATGCTCGTAGTCGGTGGACGCCACGCGGATGTCCGTCTGCGCCAAGGCTGGAGGGCAAGAGCCGGCTGAGCCTGCTGCCTGGGGGGGGATCCCACCCCCACGCCCCCACAGCCTGGCCCCGAGCCCTCCCGGGCCTCACCCCCCTCTCACCATTGTTGCTGAACTGCCCATCCACAGCACCCTTGGTGAAGGTCGTGTCCACCTTCTGGCACCCGCCATCAGGCCTGGGTGGGGGGAGGAACCACGGCGTCTGAGCGTCCTGAAGACACTCCCCAAAGGTGTTGCGAAGGGCCACATCTTGGGCACTGCTGACCACGCAGGGTCAGCCGCTGCTCAGGCCGCCTGGCGCCCCGAGGCCCCCCTCACCCTGTGCTCAGAGGTGAGAGACTTTCTCAGGGGCTGGGGGCCGGACAGACAGCCAGGAGATGTGGGGTCTCCCCAGCAGACTCCCACATGCAGACACAGGGACGGGACTCCTCCATGGCTGGGACACGGGCACAGGAATCTGAGCTCGCTGCCTGACTGCACGGGGGCCTGGGTCCGAGTTCCTATGAAGTCGGGATGCCTCTGGTCCCAGGCGGCTCACCTCTGGCCTCCCAGTGGCCAGGTCTAAGGCCCAGACTGACGTGGGGCTCATGGGGTCACTTACGTAGAGTACCCAAACTTGAGGGCCAGGTCACCGTTTGCCAAGGGGGTCACCAAGACCACGGGCATCTTCAGGTTGTCCTTGGAGTCTAGGAAGCCCTGGTCATCCGATGCCACCGCAACCACATACCAGGTGCCCTGGAACTACAGGGAGGGTGCAGGGAGAGCTGGGGGGCAGCCCTGTGCCCACCTCAACTCTGACCCAGCATGGCGGCCGGCGGCTGCCACTCGTCCTGATGTGAGGCCTTGGGAGTGGCGGAGGGCACGAGGCACAGACCGAACCACAGAGTGGCCTGAGGGGCTGCTGTCCTCCCCCGCCTGGCCCACCCCCAGCTGATGGGGCCGGTGGATGGGGCTCTCTCCCCTGCCCCCACCCCAGTTTGAGCTAAGCCTGGGCCAGAGAGTGGGGGGCAGGCTTGGGCTCCTCTGGCCTCCAGCCTCTCTGGGGAAAATGCCGGCCCCTGGACCTGGATGGAGCAGCCAGGGTGGTCACCCCTGAGGAGAAGGGGATGGGTCTGGCATGGGGGTGCCTGGGCCCACCTGGCTGGCGTCAAAGTTGGGCTGGATGGGGACCTCGGCCTGGCCTGGTGACACCCCGAGCAAGGCGAAGACCCAGCCGGCCACCAGCAGGTGCAGCATCGTGGACAATGGTTCTTAGCAGGACAGCTGAGGTGGCTTTTCCAGCCCAGGCTTTATGAGCCCTGAATGCCCTGGGGGGCTGGCCTGCTGGCCCAGGACCAAGCCCACTGAGATTAGGCTGGGATCTGGTTGTCCCCTGCAGGGACCTGGCCCAGTGGGGTGCTTAGAGACCCGCCCACCCCCGGTGGCCTTTCCTCCTGAGACTTCAGATCCGGCCAGGCCAGGGGAGATCTTCAGACAGGTTTTCTGATATGTCGGCCCCCAGCTCTCTGCCGGGACACACACCCCAGTCCCCCTCCTCCAGGAAGTCTGCCAAGAAGCTCTCACCCTCATCTCTGGGCCTCACAACCCTTGGTGCCTCTGTAGGGCCAAGCTGAAATCTGCTGGGGTGGGGGGTGCTGCCCACTGTGAACCAGGAGGGCGAAGGGCAGGGCAGAGCTGGTCAGGGAGGCCGTGCTCTGGGGTGCAGGGGTGGCTTTGGCGCCAGGGGTCTGGTGAAAGTGCGGGGCTGGAGTACAGAGGACGGGAGGCACCATGTGGCTGGAGAAGATGTGAGGGTGTCCAGTCATCAGCCTGCCCAGTCAGTCCATCCCAGTGTGCGGGGTGCGGACAGGGTGGCCACCTTCCTCTCTGTCCTCTGGGTCCCTGATCTCTGCCCAGTCTGAGGTACTGACCCCACGCCTTCAAAAACCCGGCGAGCGCAAAGCTCCCTGGGGCCTCGGGCCTCCAGACTCGGAGTGAGGGGGCAGCTGTCCAGGGTGTAGGAGGTGATGGGCTCCAGCCCAGAAGCAGCTGGCTGGAGGGGCTGTGGCGAGGTCAGAGCCGCGGTGAACTGGGGGAGGGCCGCGATGGGGCTGCTCCCTGCTTCCGACCCGCCCCACCAGGAACAAACACTAGCGGCCCCTTGCCCACCCCTCGGGGGTGTCATGAAGAGCCAGGCTCAGAGACTTTCTGGGAAAGTCTTTGGGAGGGAACTGAGGCCCAAAGTGAGTGGGGTGTGGTCAGGTCCGCAGGGAGAGGGCCAGAGCCAGGCCGTGGGCAGCGAGGACCGCAGGACAGACGGGCAAGAGCTCGATGCTGATTTGCTTCTGGAGTTTATTCTCAGAGCCAGGAGGAAGCCTGAGGGGGCACAGGTGGGGGCAGGGAGGAGCCAGGGCTGGGAGCTCGGGGGTCTTGGAGGAGAGAGCAGAGCAGGGCAGGATGGCCAGGTCCTGAGGGCCGGGGTCACCTGGCAGAGAGAGTGGGACCAGTGGGTGGGGCAGGCAATACCGCCCCCACTCCCCAGCCACAGGGGAGCGAGCTTCTCCAGGAACCCCCTTCCCATGGACCCCACCAGTTCCTATCCCAGCCTCCAGCTCCTCTAACCCCCAGGAATCTCGTGAACCCCAGTGGAGCCCCTCCCCCTTGGGCAGCCCCATGTGCCTGGGACCACCCTTGCATGGGGGGGTGGTGCGTGCGCCAGCATGTGTGAGCGGGGACTGCTGGGTGAGGCCAGCCCCCAGCTGGCCACACTCACCTACTTGTGCTCCTCCATGCATTTATCTGCCAAGAAAGACCCCCAGGGACTGTGGTCAGTGCCCCAGGCCAGGGCCACTTTCCCCACCCCCTCTTGGCAGCCCTGGAGAACTGGTCTAGTCGAGCACCCCCAAAAGTGCTGAGTCCATCACACTCCTCCAAGGTGGGAGGAGTCCTGTCCCCTCCTGGGCCGGAGCAGGCTGCCTGCCTCAGGGAAGCCCTGGGCCCGGAGCCCCTGTGTGTTCCTGTAACATCCCCCCACCCCAGTAATGTTTCTAGTGCCCGCCTCCCACCATGCTGGGGACCCTGTGTCCTGAGGGCTGACCAGGGGCCTGGAACTGGGGAGATGGGAGGGGGTTTTCCTGAAGAAGGAGTACCTTCCTGTGTCCTGCCCAGGGGCTGCAGGCCAAGGTCTGGGGTGAGGACAGGCTGCCTCCAGTCCAGAGGCCACAGTGTGCCTATGACGGTCCGTGGGCGGTCTGGCCGGATGCACCACGCCCCCAGAATCAGGACACTGTCTGCCTCAGATCTGACCTTAATCCCCTCCCCAACAGATTAGCAACCCCCCTCACCGGTCTGTGGCAGGAAGACAATGGTGTCCTCTGTGAAGCCCCGGGTCTTGGCAAAGTTGCTAAATTTCTCCTTTATCTCGGCCCTTGGGGTCTGGGTGCGGCCTGCGGTGGGAAGGAGAAGCCGCTGGCCTCTGGTTGGGGAGGACCCAGGCGGCCCCACCCCCGCGGCCTGGGGAGCCCCCCTGCAGGCAGCCATCTAAGTCCCGGGGTGGGGTGCGTACTGTAGAGGGTGGCCATGTGGAAGTCCCGGCCGAGACCTTTGGTGCCCGCAGTGTAGAGAAGCGCAAACTCGTCATAGTCTGTCGTCACCACCCACACGTCGTGGGTGCTGCCCCAGTCTGGGAAGCCGGGAGGGAAGCCGGGTTGCAAACCGTGATCCCAGACCTCCGACCCACCTCTGCCGGGGAAGGGGTGCTCTCTCCCTGGGCCGGCTGTGGGAAGGAGCCGGGGAAGACGCCCCTCGAGAGAGACAGGTGGCCAGCCCCCAGCTTCCTGCCCAGACAACCCTCAACTCTGCAGGTCCAGGGTCCTCCAGCCAGAAATCCAGGTCAGCAGACAACAGGATCAGAACATTAGGGGTCACGGTGCACCCACAAACCCCTCGGCCAGAACTGGGAAGAAGAGGAAAGATTTCCCAGGCGGAAGCCGTCCCCAAGGAAGGGGCTAAATGGTGGGGTGGGGGTGAAGAGGCCCCTGGCGCTGCTCCTGGGCTGGAAAGCGTGGGGAGCAGTGAGGGGGTTGGGGGGCTACTGGTGTGTGCTTCACCTGAGGAAATACCATTATGGGGGGCAGGGAGGGGCCTGGAGGTCAGCCCCACAGAGGACCCAGTGCCCGAGAGAGGGTTCGTGGACCCCCCACCTGAGCCTGGGCAGGTCTAGGCCAGACCGTGGGCTAGCAGACCCTCGTGGAGGGGCCACCAGCCCGCCCCCTGTAGTGCTGGCGCCGGGGAGGTGGGGGCTCCCGGCCCGAGCTGGACCCAGGGGGCCCTAGAGGGGGCCCCACTCACGCGGGCTGGTGTAGCTGTAGCAGCCCGGGGTTCCTGCCGGCCGCAGCAGCAGGGTCCGCGTCTCACACTGCTCTTTCCTGGGGGCAGGCCACCGAAGGGGTCAGGGGTCAGGCCAGGGGCTGTCCCTAAACCGTGGCCCTGGGGCGGGGAGAGCCCGGCCCGCCGCCCCACCTGAGGAAGGTGGAGGTGAGGTTGAGGCCTCCGTCTGCAGTCGGGGCCACCACGGACACGCACATGGACAGCGCGCTCTTCTTCTCCCGGAACCAGCTCGAGTTGGAGGCGAGGCCCGAGGTGAACCAGCGCCCCAGGAACTGCGGCGAACGGACCCGCCTGGGTCGACCGGGACCCTCGAGGGCGGGCCCGGCTGGCGGCGGGGAGTGGGGCGGGGGAGCCCGGGAGCCCGCCCCCGCCCCCGCCCCTTCCCTCCCCTCCCCACCCCCACGGCCTCCAGCCGGGCCCCGCCCCCGGCCCCGCCGCGCCCCGGGTCCGGCCCGGCGGGTAGCGGGGCGGGAGGGGGCGACAGAGGCCGCCGGGGCGTCTCTAGAGGGGCTGGGACGGGCCGTGCTGCCGAGGGCCGGCCGCGGGGCGCGCGCGACGCTCGGGTTTGCGCGGCCGTCCGGGTGGCCGTCCCCGTCGCGCGCTCGCACCGTGCGACCCGGGCCCCAGGTGTGGAACGTGCGCCTGTTCCCTCGGGCGTCGTGAGCTTGGCGGAGAGGGGGACGCGCGGGGATGGCGCGGGCGCGCGTGTCCGCACGTGGCGTGTGCGCGCTCACGGACGCGCGTGCTTCCCTGCCGGCCGGGGAGCCGCGGCTCTGCTCTCTGGGTTGGCGGACGGCCGCAGGCCCGGGGACCGGGGCCCTTCTGGTCAGCCTCCTGCTCAGCTCTCTTCCCAGGAAGACATCTCGGCCCCAGAGAGCGACCCCCTCCCCTGACAGGGCCCTGTGCCGCCTGGGGGACTGGGCAGGGGAGCCCCTCACCTTGTCCTGTTGGAAGTTGGGCTGCAGGGAGACCTGGGGCTGAGCCCGCGTCTGCAGGACTCCCAGGACCCCTAGCAGGACCAGTCCCATCCGCAGCGTGTGCAGAGCGGCCATTGTCCTGGAGCTGAGTGTGTGACCAGGGCCTGTGATTCCAGCCGCGCAGGCAGAGGGAGGAAGGCGCAGGAGGAGCAGAGGCCACTGGAGAGACCCCTATATATGGGCCTGGCTTGGCCTCCACCCAGGGCCCAAGGACAGCCCACTGGAGGCTCGTGATGCCTGATGCCGTGATGCTGGGGGAGGACAGGGCGCTGGAGGCCAGCTGCAGCCTCGCCCCCCGCAGGGCTGCTTATGTAAGAGACTCTGACCATGGCCTGGGCCCTGCCACCTGCCGCTGAGTGAGGGCAGAGGCTCCTGTGAGGCTGGTCCTCTCCCCAGTCCCAGAGATGCCGCCCAGCAGCCCGGATGGGGGTAGGGAACCCATGTCTTGGCACTCCCTTGCCTGGGACCTCTGAGCATCTCATCTGGGGTTGGGACTCCCTCCCACAAGCCCTCCCATCATTCTCTCTGCCCAGGGACCCTGGGGGGGGGTGGGGACTTGCATTGTATGAGTTTGGTTCTGAAAGGCCCAGTGGGCTGGATGGTGACAGCCCAGTTGGGCCGCAGTAACCAAGGTAACGAAGTAGGGCCCGAAGGCCAGGCATGCTGGGCACAGCTTCCCCCACAGCCGGATGCTAGGGCTGTGACTGGGGTCCCCCTGGGTACCCTTCTCAGCCTGGGGCCCCCCAGCCTTGGGCACAAGCCCACCCTTTGTGTGAGCTTCCAGTTACACTGGTCTTGCCCGGCAGTCCAGCCCTGGAGTGCCATGGGGGTCTCAAGCTGTTAACCACTGCACACAGAGATGGTGTCTCCCTGCCCGCAGAGGCCTCCCTGGGTGGACAGGCTGCTCTGAGGTCCTGCGCCCTACTGAGCCCTCACAGGTGACCCTGTCCTTCTGCTTCAGCCCCAGGTCATCCCAGGCCGGCGGGGGCTCAGCACAGGGCAGCTCTGGCCACTGTGAGCAGGAGAGGTGTGAGTGTCTTGGGGGAGGCAAGGAGGCAGGGCCCTGGCCCTGGGAGGGGAAATGAGGCAGGGGAAAGAGTTCCTGTGCGGACACGGAGGGTTGGTAGCTGTGGTCAGTGGGGGGACAGGGGCTGGTCATCTGCAGACACAGGCCCAGCCCATTCAGGGGGTGCAGACCCCCATCCCAGGGCTTCTGCCCAGAAGCTGAATTCTTGGCAGCTGAATTCTCTGGCTTTGGACCAGCCCCAAGGCTGTTCAGAAGTGATCAAGGGGGAGGCGTGGGGTCAGGTCAGCTCCCTGAATGGGACCAGCATGAGCACGGCCACCCACCTTGTGAGGGCAGGAGGGCGGGTACCAGACCAAGGGGTCCTAGCAGGGTGGGGACATCTGTACCGCAGTGCCCACCGGCTTCCGGCGCTGGCTAGCCCCTTGCCCTGGGGCCATTCCCCGGGGGCTGAGCCTGTCCTGGTGGGACTGGCCTAGTCTCCCCTTGGGAGGCTGGGATCTCAGAAATCCTGGAAAAACAAGTGTGGCAGTTCTGTGGAAGGGTTGAGAGTGGGCTGCCAGGTGGAGGGGGCTGGGCAGCCGCGCGTCTGGAGCCTCTTCTTCCCCCTCCCCGCACCTTTGCACTGCAGCCCTGACATCCAGGCCAGGGACCTGAGGCGCCCTCCCGGGGGGGTAGGGGAGTGCAGACTGGAGCACTCTGGGGGCCCCTCAGCTAGGCAGCCTTGGGGGGCAGCCGGGTGGGTTCCTGAGCTGGCAGGGGGCTCCGGGCAGAGGTCAATGGAGGGGGTGGGGTGGAGAGACAGGAGACACCTGAGAGGGAAATGGGAGTTGTGGGGGCGGCAGTTCAGGGGAGAGAGGCGGTGGTGCAGGGGAGGGGCAGAGGCTGGCCTGAGACTCCCACCTCCACCCCTGCTCCTCGGGTGCCATCCATGGACTGGGCTGTGGGACAACAGTCCATCAGAACAGGCAGGATTTGGGGTGCTGACCCCAAGAGTCTGCAGTGCCCCTGGGCTGTCCTAGGAATCGGTCTGGGAGCTCCCTCCAGGATGGGACAGGGGCAGGAAGAGGAATGCGGAGGAAGGCCTGGGGGACAAGGCTGCATCCCCAGGTGGGCACTGGGCTGGCAGCCCTTTGACCTTAGGGAGGCCTGTGGCTCTCTGTGTGGCCAGGCTGCAGGTCCCTTAGCAGCCCAGGCTGCCCTGAGACAAGGACATCTCCTCCAGTGGTGAGCCTACGGCTGGGGTGAGGCAGTAAGTTGACCCAGGGCGGTGGGACCCAGAGTCGGGGGGAAGAGGTGACCCAGGACAGCAGGATCCTGGAGATATGGGCCTGAGCAGCTCTCATCTGGGAAGGCTGGGCTAACCTGCCAGGAAGGGCCCTTGTGACCAGACCCCCAGGGGTCCCACAGATCCTGGTGGGACGAGGTCCTCCTGAGGACAGAGTGGCTCCCGGGAGCCCCAGTGTCTCGTCCTCAGACCCAGCGTCAGGGACCGCGTCCTCCTCCGCCATTTCCCTGGTGGGCAGCAGCAGGCCAGTTGTCCCCCCATGTCCCTTCTCCCCCAGGCGGCAGTGACCAGCGGGATGGGGAATGCTGCGGGGTGGGTGTGGTCCAGAGGCCTGAGCCTGGGACTCGGTTGCTCTGTCCCCCTATGGCCCAGGTGGCCTTCCGTAAATACGGTGGAGTATGGGGCCTGACCTCACACCCACTCTCATGGAGGCCTCTGGGGCAGGGCGGAGTGGGCCGCTCTTGTCTGGGGTCTCTGAGAGTGGGGTTAGGACTCTGGGAGGGAGTGGTCTCCTCCAGGAGACCCTCCAGGCCACCCAGCAGCTCCTGCTGGGGCAGCCCAGAAGACGGCTAAAGGAGCAGGGTGACCTGGTTGGGCAGGGACAGGGGGATCCTGGCTTGTGGCCGCCTTCCTGAGCCTCAGCTTCCCCATCTGTGCCCTCCAGAGCAGAGAGCAGAGGTCCTGCCCTCTGCTCTGGACCTTCTCAGGCCCTCCCACAGGGGCCTCTCCAGGCCCTCACCCGTTCTTTCCTCAAGGTGACCCTGAGCAGAGTGGGGGAGAAGGTGGAGGCCTGGGCCTGGCCCAGCCCGAGGGCCTGAGGGACAATTTCGGGGCTCAAGAAACAGGTGCCACAGGGTCTGTTGGGCCGGCAGGTGGAGGAGGCAGGGGGAGCCGTGACTCCGGGGCTGCAGGGTCCAGGTGTGTGATGGAGATCTGGGAGGTGGGAGGGGGCGTCCAGGAGCTGGCCTAGCGGGCCCTCCCTGCCTCCTCTGCAGTCACAGGACTCCCCCTGCACTCTGCATTCCCCCCTGCCCCCATTCACTGTGCTCCGAGCTGAGCCCTGCGTGGTCAGCAGCTCTGAGCTGGGCCGTCTCTGCTGCACGCTGGGGCCCCTGCTCAGCTGACGTGGGGATGGGGGATGGGGGGGTTTGTCCGTGCTGGATGCTGGCACTGGGGAGGCCCCTCCTGGAGACCATGTGTGGCTTGGCGGGTCTCAGAGGGACAGGGTGGTCGTGGCTGACAGTGTGCATTCCTGACCCGTGAGCCCGTGAGCCCGTGGCACGGGGGATGGTCTCTCAGGGGCCCCATGCCGGGGCCTTAGGTCAGGCTGCCCCTGCCAGGCCCACCGCAGCACCCAGCTCGCTCAGGACACAGAGACGAGGCTGAGCACCCCCAGGGCCCTGCAACCCAGGCGCGGGGCTGAGGACGGGCACCTGCCTGAGGACAGCTGGGGCAGGAGGACACTGTGATGACAGCGGCTTTGGGCCATGGGGATGTCAGGAGTTGGTCTCATCTTGGAGAGATCCTCAAGGCCATTCCTCTGCCTCTGGTCTGCCCGGTCAGATACAAGCCGGCGGCCAGGGCCTAGGCTTGACCTCATTCTTTGTGGGGGGAGGGGGCAGGCGGGGAGGCGGGACAGCAGCGTCCCCCACAGATGGATCTCCAGGGCTGAGGCTGTCCAGGTGCCCTGCTGACTTCTCACTGACCTGCGGCTGACAGTGTCCTCTGGCCTCAAACAAGGAATTCACAGGGACCTGTGGACCCCACCCACCTTCTGCTTGGCAGTCAGCTCCCCCCAGTCTGCGAGAAGGGGTCTTGAGGGGGCCCTGAGCTGCTGAGCAGGGGTGGCCCCCCTGGACAGCTGGACCCACCCTGCCACACTGCCCCGGGGCTCACCCCCTACAAGATGCTCTTGCTTTGGGAAGTGTCGAGGAGGCTGGCTGTTGGGTCCTCAGATGGTTTAAGTCTGGAAGAGGCCGTGCTCTGGCTCAAGGAGAAGCTGCTAGAGAAAATCCCCGAAGGCCTTATCCCCTTCCCTGGAGCCCTCCCCAGATGCTATCAGTGGCATCTCTGGGCTGTACTGGGACCGAAGGCCACCTAGGGCAGGTGGCCAGGAGCCAGCACCTGCCCAAAGCAGAGAGCTGGGGGTAGCGTGGTTAGTGCCTCTGGGTCGGGCACTGAGACCCAAAGAGGAAGGGGGGGGCGGTTCCAGATCCAGCTCAGAGCTCCTGCCCGGCCAGGAATGCTCTCTGTCCCTCCTCTCCCTGACTCCCAGGCCAGCCCAGCCTCCACGGCCACCCTGGGAGAGATAGCTGCCAGGTTGCCAGATGTCCGCAGAGAGAGGACAGGGACAGAGAGGGGACAGAGACAGGAGCCGTGCAGGGCAAGTGCGGCCTGCATGGTCTGAGCAGAAATCCAGAGTCGACCTCATGCGGGGGCCCCTGAGTCCCATCGCGACCTTACATGGAAGGGCGGCTCTCCTGTGGGGGCCCTGGGTGAGGCTGTGCCTCGTTTCCAGACCCCACCAAAAGATGGTCAGGGTAAGCTGAGGCCACTCCTGGCCAGCAGGAAGCCAGGGCTGCGGGCTGCCCCGGGAAGGGGTCCGGCCCCCGCCGTGCTCCCGCACACCCCCCGCCCCCCATAGCTGTGACACTCAGCACCAGGATGACTGGGGCAGATGGCTTCCAGAAAGGTCCAGCGAGGCAGTGGTGGTGGGCGCCGGAGCCTGCCCGTCACCTGTCTGAGGGCTGGGGGAGAGGGCTTTGGGCAGGTTAACAGATAGGCCCTCCTGGGTCCCCGTCAGCTCACCTGGGCGTCCCTCTTCCCAAAGACCCGGAA